GTGTGTGTGTGTGTTTTTATAAAAGACACTGAAAAAGAAATGCAAATGCAAAACAAATTTACATCAACATAAAATTAATGAAGTAACAAGTGCATTTTCAAAAGCTGTGCAGGCATAATTATGTTCTTTTGATCTATTCAATTCAACACTTTGTTGACAGAAGGAAAAAAAACAAAAAACAGAAGTTTTCCATAAAAATAAATTATAAAATATACGTCTGTTTTAGTGCGTTCTCCACCCTAATAAACAAAAGTAGGTGCAATACTTGTGCCTGTTAATAAACCTATAAGCAGATAGTTGGTGTTGGGCTGACAAGCTTAGTGTGTCTGGTGGTGTAATCATGTGAGAGAAAATACTCACCACAACCCCAAACTGCTCAGGCTCTGACAAATTAGAGTACTCGTTTTTATATTTGGCCAATGTGTTCAGCTGCTCCTGCTCGGGGAGGTGCTTTACAAGGTTCTGCATCAGAAAGAAACAATGAAAAAGAAGTGCAGTTATGACAGCAGGCATGCTTTATTTCAATAAATATATCTTGTTCTACAACACAATGCCTGGAAACCAACAGAATTGTGGTAGACATCAGTCAATCTAAAGAGCAATGTTCTTCCATTTCCACAATGCACTGTAAAAAAATACTTCTATGCTTTAAATTGCAAGTACCTGTTCCACATTATTGCACCTAAAAATATATAAATATTTGGAAATTGTAGATGTTAAATTCTTGCAGTAGGGTGGAAGGGTGTCTTGTGTTGTGCATGACTTAACAGCATTTTACCTTATATCCCTCTTCTTGCAAATTGACATTAAATGTACAGTCTAATTAGTTTTTAGAAGTCACTGCTGCATTAAAAATGTGTCTAATAATGTTTGGCTTACATCCAATCAATAACTGAAGAAAATAGAGAGGGCTATCATTACTAGGTCTGTCGCAATAAACAATAAATCAATTATTCGTATGATAAAAGAAAAGTATCGACCTCATTCTCATTTAGTGGGTTTATCGTTTCTTTGTGTCTCTCTCTTTCTACTGACGACACAGGATGACAAAAAGCTCAACTCAGGTGCTCTTCACTGACCCCTCCCTTTCTCTTTTCTCTTTAAAATCCATTTAAACGATGCAAAATTGCTTTTTTTTGGATCGTTAAAAGCAGCTAAGCTGAGAAGCTAAGCTACGAGCTAAGCTAACAGGTTGACCTTGAGAAAAAAAAAAACCTTTGTCTTGTCGAAGCTCCAAAATTCATGGTTAAAACTTGTGCCTTCGTCTAAAAAAGTTGTTTTTCCTGCAAAAAGAAGCTGAAAACTTGTTTACTGATTTTTTTTTTTTAAATTAAAAGCTTTGTGTGACTAATGCTATGCTAAAGAGCTCAAACCACACTGAGCGTCCGCCATTTTGAGGACTGAAAAAAAAGAAGGAGAGACAGCCCATGTCACGCCAAGGGGCCTCCCTGCCATTTTTCTGCTGGCTTCCTCACTATCCATCCTTCGGTTCAAATCGTCTTATACTGCCATCTGGTGGTCAAAAAAAGATGCCAGTCAAAACAAATTAACCAACACTTCTTCTTAAATTTGACAATTACTAATTATTGTCAAGTTACAAACAATATCGTTTATCGCAATAATTTCTGAGACAATCGCCCAGCCAAATTTGTTATGTGGCCTAATCATCACAGCGGTTGTGAATGCTACCATGTATTGTCAACCACCCAGACCTGTTTATTGTTGAATTATGTTGCATTCAGGAGTTTAAGTCAGAGTTTGATCCCTGATCTACAGTTATGGTCAGTCTTAATGCTTCAACATAAAAACACATTTTAGAAACTGTTTTGCATCCTACTCTGTGGCAAAACTTTGGGGAAGTCCAGTCTCTATTCCAACATGACTATTCTGTGCACAAACCAAGGACTATTAAAACACAGTTTAGTATTGACCTAAGCCCAATCAAGCATCTTTGGGATGAACTGCAACAGAAGCTCTCATCCAAACCCTATCACTGAATATCAGTACCTGACCTAATGAATGTTCCACAGAGTAAATGGGGAACAAATTTCCACAGAAACATAATAACATCTTGTAGAAAGCCTTAAAAAAAAAAAAAGTTATAAGAGCTGCAAACAGGGAGACCTCAACATACAGTCCATGTTGGTGTGATGCTCAGATGTGAACCATTCTTTTGGTCTATGTAGAGCAAATTAAGCCAAATTAAATGCAAGTTGGGCAGCACGGTGGCACAACTGGTAGAGCTGCTGCCTCTCAGCGATCAGGTCCCTGGTTCAAATCCCGGTCCGGGGGCCTTTCTGGGTGGAGTTTGCATGTTCTCTCTGTGCATGTGTGGGTTTTCTCCGGGTACTCCGTTTTTCTTCCAAAGACAAAAAACATGCATGTTAGGCTGATTGGTATCTCTAAATTGTCCCTAGGTGTGAGTGAGAGCGTGGATGGTTGTTTGTCTCATTTGTCTCTGTGTGTCCCTGTGATGGACTTGCGACCCGTCCAGAGTGTACCCCACCCCTCACACAGTGATTGCTGGACATGGACACCAACAACCCCCGTAACCCAAAATGGAAGAAGCGGGTAAAAGAGGATGGATGGACGGACGGACGGATAAATGCAAGTTAGCTTGTCAGCTTGCTGTCTTTAGCTCTGCCCCGTTGGGAATATTTAGAAAATCTGTGCAGTCAAATATAAACTAGGTGTGTTTATGCAGACTATCAAGGAAATGTAGCTAAGATGGTAACTGTAAAACTTTGTGGACAAGCAGAATCTGTGCTTTATGGAGCTTATCAAAAGTAACATTTATGTAAGAGTTTCAGCTTTGTGCACAGCTGTAAAAAGTTCTGGGCCTATGCAGTCAGGGAGAAGACTATATGAAGCTGCACCCTAAACCAGGACACGTCAAATCAAGTAAAGCATCTAAAGTAAGATTATGTTTGTTTAGAGTTTAGAATGTAATAAGTTTGTTAAATGCTAATACTAGACTGGTGCTGAAGTGTACCTGAGTTTGACTAACGTTATTCTGGAGGCGTAAGAGCTGTTGCCTCTCAGCAAGAAGGTTGCCAAATCCAACCCTGGTCTGGAAACTTTTGGGTGGAGTTTGCATGTTCTTCTCCAGGTACTCTGGTTTCCTCCCACAGACTAAAAACATGCATGTTAGGCTGATTGGTAACTCTAAATTGTCCTTAGGTGTGAGTGAGAGAGTGAATGATTGTTTGTCTCGTTTGTCTCTATATGTGTCCCTGTGATGGACTGGAGACCTGTCCAGGGTGTCCCCAGCCTCTCACACAGTGACTGCTGGACAAGGGCGCCAGTGAACCTGCAACCCAGACTGGAAGAAAAGTGTAAAGAGAATGGTTGGATGGATATTCTGGTAATGAGCTAGAAACTTTACAATGTATAAAACTGGAAAAAAATAAACTGCTTTTATGTGTTTGTCATTTGTTGCCTTATTTTTTTAATATAGTAACTAGATTTTTCCTACACAAACACATTCTTTGTTTCCACAAACTTTACGTTTTCTTCTCATGTGAAAGTATTTTCCTCAGACAAATTCTGCTACTGTTTTCTAAATATTAAAGTCTCCAGTAAAAAGTTTTATTCCTGGTGCCTGGAGCCAAAACAAATAATTGCATGTCTAAAACTAAGGTTTTTATTGACGCATCATAATTGAATTTATTTTAATGACTATTAATTAATGAAATGAATTATTCAATATGTGCATCTGTAGCTTAGGTTTGTTTTTATTCAACTCAGCTTGTGTGTGACAGCTGAATAATCAAAAGGCTGCAGAAAGATTCATTAACCTCTTCCACATTTGGTGCAAAAACTTGAGAGAAAAAAATCATTTAAAAACCAAGTTAATTTTGCAAACAGCCTTTTAATCAGTAATAAAGATGTGTTAGTCCTAAAAACAAAAAAACTATTATTTATGCATCCCCTATGAGCTGTGATGAACATGTGTTTTATAATTATCATACGATAACCCTGTTGGTTCCATAAATTAAAAAAACGTATCTAATTAAACTAGAAAGTGCACATTGTAAATGCCATCTAATTACTTTACTATGAGTCTATTGTAGACCACAAAGATGAAAATTATCATTGACTATTTTTAATAACTAAAATAAAAATAAGTATTCAAACTAAATACTGAGCACTTGAAATACTGAGATTAGAGATAGGCAGATTTAATGAGCTGATATTTGGCACTTAAAAAAAGGACAACTTACCAATCCTGTGCTAAATAACTTTTACCAAAAAGGAAAATAGAGATGCAGCAGCAGCTGCTAACAAAGGCTGACTGTAAGCTAAAATGTAGTTGTTGTTTTGTTTTAGAAATAATTCACTTCCTTATAAACATTTTCAGTATCCAAGCTTTTAAATATTGTTTTTTGTTGTTGAATGAAATAATCTATTGACCAGAAATT